GTTCCACAGTGAAAACTCAAGGGGTAGCACAGAGAACAGGGAGTTTTAACAGTATTCAGATAAGAGTCAATCACTGCTCATCAGTATATGTATAGAAGATGGACAAAGAACTGCATGTTACATATTGCCTTACGTGAGCAATAGACTTAAAATCATTGGCTGTCTGTCAAAGCAGTCTATTGTATTTCCTGCCAGCTTGTGAATGTCTTGGATGACCTCAATGACTAAAAATCAAAGCTAGTCCACTCAAATATCATTCAGTCATTGTATTGCATTGATTTCTTCTTTCCCCCTCAGATAAGCAAGAATAGGAAGGGAACATTTCTCAGCAGTTGTAGTTACTGGCAGAGTAGTGTAACAATGTGCTAAAAATCTCTAAGAATAGTGAGTCGATGGAGCCAGAGTATCAATAATGTGACTATCTGTGGCCTGTTTTGTTCCTAGTGCTCCCACGTTGCTGGTACTCACTCCCACTCACTAAAGCAAGTCCTGGCCTTTTCTAAATCTGCATTGTTTGGCTGCAAGAAAATCAAATAGCAATTTTGATTGTTTTATTCTCTAAAGTGCAGTGTTCCAATGAACCTGCAGTTGCCATGAATGAAGGAATTGACACCTGACTTAACACTGTTGTTTCAAAGTTTTCAGCTAGTATATGGGAGTTCTTTTTTTTTTTTTTTTTTTCTTCTTTCTTCCTGATAGTTCCTGGTAGATAAAAAGTAGCTATTCAATTATTGTTTAACTCATCTCAAGGCAACACTGGGTAACAGAATAAGTCAAGTCTCCTTCTTTCCTGTTTGTGTTCCAACCTGTGATGGAACTGCTTGCTGAAAACTGCATAAAATCTTCTACCACACAACCAAGCCTCCTATCACTGCCTGTCTCTGCAGTGGTTCAGATATTCTACACATTATGTAATGTCTTTATTGACATCTTAAAGACAATGGTTTGTTTGTTTGTTTGTTTCAAATTAAAGCTTATAATTTGAGGATATGGCTCATTTCCTATATCCCTGAACTGCCAGTGCACTTTTGTTGAATGTCTTCTAGTTTTCAAAAATGGGCTGTACTTACTCTTGAGGAGAGTTTCCTAAGCCACTTGCATTGGAAACCACCACCCACATTTGTGGAAGGCAGAATGCAGTTGATAGGCAAGATGCAGTCTCGAGGTTGCAGTCTATAGGAGGAGAGGCTGTGGTGTCTCCATCCTTGAAGATTAAAAAACAGACTTGACGTGGTCCTGGGCAACCTAGGTGACCCTGCTTGAGCAGCGGGGTTGGACCATTCTGTGAGTCTATGAAAGCATTATTTATTCAGATGTGTTGAGTAAGTGAGGCTGAAGATCCACCAAAGAGTAAAAGCTTCCTTCCCCCAAACCATGTTTTCTAGAGGAGGGTGGCTTATGTCACACAAATGGAATAATGTAGTGACATATATACTGTATGTTTTTGAACCTTGGTTCATTTAAAATCTGCTTGGTATTCATCAGCTTACATTGTTTAAAAGAATTGGCTTTTTTATGACTCGTTAACACTGCTGTATGCTTTCAGAATGGTATCTAGATTATACTAGATATTTTAAAAGAATTTTTTTCCTGTTGCCATTTTTTATTTAAAATGTTTGGTGGTATTTGGAGGGGATAGAAAAATAAGTGCAGTTTACTAAGGGATGACAATGTAATGCTGGCTTTTTTGTGGAAAATAGAAGGGAATTTCATTGGATTAGTAGGTTGCAAACATGAAATACTTCATTAAGTATCTAGGAAAGTTGTCTGGTCACCACTTGCCATTAATAATAGCATTTTTGTTCTGTTGAATCCTGATTGCATGTTCCTAAGCATTCTTAAGTGTACCACTTGTCTCTATTAGCCTTGCCACCTGATTGAATCTTAGAACTGTCCTTTGTCAGATGATTAGCTCCATTAATACTGCACTTTCTTTCCTGGCCATAATTTCCTATGAGCTCTAGCCCGGAATAATAGTTTTAAAGTCAAATGTGCAGTTAGCTAATTCAAGAGGTTTGCATTCGCAGTTGCAAAGCTGGATGCTCATCCTACCAGAAATATATCAGAACTCTAAGATCCATTTTTGAATGTGTTCTAGTTAAAACAAGGTCTTTTCAGTGGCACTAGAGGCTTTAGTGCATGAAAATCAGATAAATCTCACAGGTCATTATCTTTTTTTTCTGGAAGGCTTTCTAGAGACCTCAATGTGTTCATTTTCTGAATTGATAACCTACAGAAAGGAGGTTAAGCCTGTTCCACTCAATGTCCAGCATTTTGAGAAATGCATATTTTTGCTCTGGGAAGTGATCACATTATTATTGCGATAAAGGAATTCAGGATCCGTGCAGCATTTCATGTTTAGATTTAAACTGAAGAGAGACAGTATGCTATTTGCAATTCTTCCAGCTTGAAAGAAGGGAAGTAAACATACTATATTACTCTTGAACAGTCGAGGGAATTACCTGCTTGGCCATTTGATTATTCTTATTGACTCACAGTAAAAACACCTGCAAGGGCATTCATCGGCTCGCTGCTGAAGGATCTGTTATAAACACAGCATTATGAAAGTGGCAGCTGAGTGTTCTTGGCACGTTTCTACAGCACCCAGACAAATGTCATTCAGCTTCCACATCTATCATTCAGTCATAAATCTGGGTTAGGAGAACATCTTTTTTGAAAAAAATCATGCTTACTGTGGGGAAATCATGCTGTGCATTACCAAAAGATCAGTTCTTTTTTAGGTTAGGAGGCTGCCACTAACAAATGGCTGTGGAATAAACTTGGCAGAGCAAACATCTAGAGATAAAAGTGCTTGAAATGATCTCTGTATAAAGATAACAGCAGTAGAATAGATTTGTGTTTGCAAAGGTTACAGAGTATTGCCTGAACTTTGAATAAGTTTCAAACGTTCAGATTGTGGGTTTAACTCTCATTTTCCTCAGGATACTCTGGTTTTTATTAGCTCAATGGACACGAATTAATTGGTGACTAGCAGTTAAATCTCTGGCATATATCTTTGTGGGGGGAAAAAAAAAATCAAACCACACGCTGTTACTGAATATTCTATTACAGTAGCCTGGAGTGGAAAAGAGAAAGTTTGAACAGTTTGAAAGAAGCATTTTTGCCACTTTCCTTTTCCCTGCTAAATCCCACATACTCTTCTTCTACCTCATTTTAAGGTTGCATGTAGTGTTTTTATCAGAGATGATTAAACAGAAATAGCTATTTATATGTAATATTTTATACGAAGTTGCTGAAGAAGTTTGTAATGCAACATCAGATTGAATATATATCTTCCACCAACAAAATGCACCTTCCTTTTCCCATCTTCTGTGTATTGCAGATGGCTGGAATAAGTCAAAACTATATAATAAACAGTTTACTAACAGTCAACAAAGAGGGAAGTGATGCTTGTGGGGAAAAATATTTTTTTTAACAGCGTTAGCATCATTTATTACCAAAAACATGCATCTCTTCCACATGCTGTTACTTTTTGATGAATCTCTAACTATTCAAATATCACTTTCTGCCAAGGGATGAAGCAAGCAGCATTATTTGGGATAGATAGTTTATTGTAGCAAGTACTCATATATTAGTGGCAGAATGTATATAATGCCTGACTTCTGTGGCATGTTTCCAGTAGTACTATTTCATTGTAAATCTTTTTACTCAAGATCATCTGAAAGCCATTAGAATATGCTCCTTCCTGTGTGCAAAAGTTTTTTATAATTAAATAGTAGCTTTACAAACTCTAGTGTTATTTTTTCATGAGTATATTGTATTGTTGAGAATGGAAAACAATATTGTGAAAGGCACTTTTTAAGTGCTATTGAGATGAGGTTTTAAGAACAAAAGATATATTTGTATCAAAAAGATTTCCCTTGTCTTGTCTCCTTGGAGGGGTGGAGGGAGGGAAAGCAAAGTACATTATTAATGCTGTGCATTTCTCATGTAGCTCATCCATACCTGCCTTTCAAATTCAGCTGAATCCGTTAACATTATTAATTGCTGAACATTTCAGATGGGAATTTAATATCTCTTTTTATTTAAGAAGTGTAGAAAATTTTACTGCAAACCAAAAGACAGCATTGAGTGAGCTTTATTTTAGTATAAGCATTCTGCAGCCTTTTCCACATATGCCCTTTAATTCTAGTTTGGTTTGACTTTGTCCTACGAAGAGGTCTGCCTTTCTATATTATTTCAGGGATGATGCCTAACAGAACTTTTTGAGCAAATGCTTATTAGATTCTAATTTGAAGGCATCTTTCTCTTCCCACCTACATAAAATACATCTGAATTGTACCTTTGTGTGTCCAGTTCCATTCTGCATCAAGACTGTACTTAGATGCAGAAATCAAGGCCTAAGATAATCATCTCCCTCAACAATGTTTTTCCTATTAAAGAATTGAGAAGGAATTTCATGTATGGCTGAACAAATGTGTGGGGTTTTTTTCTTTTTCTGCTGGAGGAAAAATATATAACAGATCGTGATAGGTAAATAGCTGCCAGGCAGAAAACATATAAGGTATGGCAAGGGCTGCCAATGGAGAACTATCATTGTGGTCCAGAAGGCTTCACTTCCTCAAGGAATTTGAGGACGTGCGTATAAACTTGTTTTCTCAAGTACTTTTCTAAAAGTGCTGTAGAAGAGTTTCCTGCTGCCAAAACCATTGGGTAACATGTTTTTTATACTTATATGAAATTAAAAATTGGAATGGGATATTTCAGATCCTACTGCAACATGTTCCCTTCCAGAAGAAAAGATACCACAGAATGGGTGAGATGAGCTAAGGATATAGACCATGACTATGAAGGGAACCTGTAGGCTTTCAAAAATATATTGATGTAATTGTCAAGGAATACATCCACATACGTGCCCTGAATGTGTTTGAATTAGTAGTAGTAGCTATACTACAAATGCAGACTGAAGCTTTAACCAATAATATTGTACTATTTTGTTGAATAATTCTAATGAAGTGCTTTACTTTTCTCTTGCAGATGAACGGGAAGATGTTCAAAAGAAAACATTCACAAAATGGATAAATGCACAGTTTGCTAAGGTAATTAAATATTTTTATTTATTTATAAACCAAAATATGTTTTGTATATTTTAAAAAAAACCTGATATTCCTCCACTGAGGCTTAATTTTCAAGATAACAATTACAATTTTCAGGTGTTGCTGAATGCAGTTGACTGATTTATTAGAAAAAAATGTCCAAGTTTTATTCCCTTGATTTCAGTAGGGATTAAAATGTAAGAAGCCATCCTCTTCTCAAAATGATCTTTGCCTGAATTTACTTTGCCTTTTCTCAAACTAGTGATGCAGATGAATTACTGTTTGTTGGACTCCTTTGTTATGGTCCTAATATATTGAGGAATTTCTTCTATTGGGCTTGTCTTTTCTTGTTTCTAATTGCAATCACAAATTTAACAAAACTAAATGAATTGGAGAGAAACAAGGTCAAAGATAAGAGGTGTGATCCAGTCAGCAAATTATGAAAGTCAATTATAATAAGTTTTGAAATAGTTATCTTTATGAACTCTTGGAGAATGGTAAAGATCTCAAATGTAATGGAAAAAAGAGCAAATAACTAACTTACTTAAAGGAGCCCCACCTGGCAGCATATAATAATTTCATCTTTAATACACAGTCAAAATTGAGCTCATTTATTAATTTGCTTAAACATTTTTGAAATTCCTGGAGGATAATTACTGAACTGTATTTGCCAGTAATAAACGAAATGAATCCCATAATTTGTCATTTTGTCTGCTAGGGAATAATTGGCAATAGAGAACAATGAAATAGTAGCTGTGATATATCTTCTGTTTAGTTTGGCTTTTGATTGTGTTCCATCTGATTCTGCTCATTAAAAAAAGAGGAGTAAGATAATCTGAATGTGGCCACCATAATGTTGAAACAGATGATTAGCGGTGGTTCAGTCAAACAGGGAGTCCCACGGGACTTTTCCATGGTCTGGAGCATTTTCTAGTAGTGATTCAAGTGATTTAGACAGCACACATTTGTGCTCAACATCTTTACAGCAGAGATGTCCAACAGTTTGGAGGACTGGATCAGGATGAAATACAGTCTTGAACAAATGGTCTGAAACTGGTCGATGAATTACAAGACAAGTGTGAAGTATTATATTTAAGACAGAAGTAAAATGTATGCGTACAGAAGAGAGGATAACTGGGCTGGCAATAATAAAGCAAAGCAAAGCTCTGGGCAGTGAAGTGAATCACAAGCAAAATGAGTCAGCAACATGGTACTATTGCAATAAAAAAAAAAAAGGCAAATTTATTATGGCTGTGATAATGGAAGTGCTTGACAGAAGGTGAAAGATGTAATTATTTTATTTTACTGGGTAATAGTGAGATTTTAGCTTGAGTAATTTACTGTCTTGGTGTTCCATATATGAAGAAGTAGCCCCAGCAGCAGTCATCTAATATAAGCTAATTTGAAATGTATTGTCAGTTAGGCCTTTTTATGGTCACAGAAATAGTTATGGAAAACTAAGAGTAACTGTTACTTCTATATCTAAAGAAAATGTCATGTTCCTAGAGCGTTGCTTTCTCAGAAATGGTTGTTTTATGGAAACTTGGAGCAAGTCTGCAGAAGAACAAGAATTATGAAGGGTTTAGAAAATATGACCTATCAGCAGATGCTTTTAATAGTAGGTTTCACTCAGTCATCTGGATGATCTAGATGTCTTTCCTCCAATTCTAGTTCAGTGGAGTGTACTTTAATGGTATTTTAACTACCTTTTACTTCTGTTCTATAAATAGTATTTTTAGTTGTATGTGAACATGCATTCACAAACATACTGCAGAAGTACTATCTCCCTCTACTTCATTTGGACTTTGAGGAAAACCTCCTAAACACTATGGTTCAAGTCTTTCTTTGCCTCATGTGTCACCTGTGTTTTAGACACAGTCTTTTTATTTCAACAATCAATCTACCAAAAAAACCTTGATCTTTAAATCTTGGACAAATTACTCTTGCCCTACAAAATGGTTATGCATAACACCAGAATAGTTGGTCTGAAATTGGAAATCACATATGTCTGGTAAGCTTAGTAATACCTGCTGGCTGCCTGTGTGGTACACATGCAGAAAGCATGGTTTGTTCTTCAGGGCAGTCATGTACCGTGCAAGCTTTATTTCTGTCGAGGGTTTTCAGGACAGAAAAACGGGAGGCCCTGCTTTTATTCCGCTGTAACGTGAGTGGTCATAGTTAATAGCTGTGTGCTGTCCTAGGATTGTGTTTCTCCCTCTTCTAAAGACCAAGACATTTTAGGAGAGGTGGTCTTCAAAACATGAAAGTGGATGTCCATGTGAAATCCGCAGCTTATCGTCCTTCTTCTGACTTGTTTTCAGTGGTTCAAATCCATCTCTGTTTCTAGCTGTGGAATTAATTTCAGTTAATGGGCTACTCCTGGTTAGTGATTTCTCATCATTGCTAGCTTTGTAAAACTGTTAAATAAATGACTTTCATTGTAAAATTGGTTTGTCTTCACTCCTGTGTGGTTCTAGAGGTGCAGTCTTGAGCAGATTAGCCTGTGGGGTCAGAATTAAGATAGAGAAATGTATTACATCTTATTTGTGAATAGTGGAATCTAGGTCATTAATTAACTGTAAAATATTTAGAGTTGAATGAAACTGTTTTATACAATTCTCACCCATCCACCACCCTCCATAGCTAAAAAAACCCTACTTATGCAGTCAAAGTAAAAGCTTAGTTCTAAATGTTCTAAATCTTCACTTGTGTTGGGTCTATAGTGCATTGCCCTCCGAAGAGCTGTATTCCTTTCCTGAAAATTCAGTGTCTAGAGTACCTGTGCCTCAGTATACTTATTCTCAGACTAAGCTTTCAAAACACTGGTATTTGCAAGTTGCTTTCACATGACTAGTGATGTAAATACAAATAATACTTTTAATGTCAGAAGTTGTAAAGTATTGAAAGATAATTTTCTAATTTGTGTGTCATCAGCATAACTGAAGAACCCATCTATAATTTTTATTTGTGAGGAAAAAAAAAAAATTATTGTTTGAATTGAAGGCCTGGAGGGAGGTAGTAGTCCTTCTTCTGGCCATGCAGGCAGTGGCATTTTAGTTGGATGATGTGTAGATACTTTGATACTCAGATGCCTTGAGTTCAGCAATGAACTCTGCTGCCTCTTAGCTAAAGAGTCAAGTCTCTAACATGAAATCCATAATGAACTCTCACCCACACTATCTTGGCAGTTTTCCGCCTGTGATGCGCAGACCGTAGAAACCAAGAAGTCTGTGAAAGGGTATCTAGGGAAAGCTAGCAGAACTGTCAGCAAGATTACAATTGCTATGGGTGAGGCCATGTCTCTCTTCAAACTTTTTTTGGCAGGTTGAGGGGGGTGGTCTAAATGGAAAAACTGTGGAGAATGCATTTGCATTCTCTTACAGCTTCTCAAAAGAGCAGGTATCTCTGTAATTCCTACTCCTTTTACTAGCCAGAAAGTGGATTATGCAGAAAATCTGTGCTTTAAAGTTTACAGTATGTGACTCATCTATAAGCAATTCATCATTGTTTCAGTACGATAGGCCAAAAGTTGGTTTTTAATGTTTGTGAGATAAAACAGTTAGTAAATTAAAAGTATAGAAGAAATGGGAGAATGTAATCCAAGAGACCTTTGTGTTTTCCCCCTTCTAATCATAGACATTGTGCATGATTTTCTTTAGTGATACCTTTTTGGTTTACCATCTAAATGGCATGCAGTAAGTTCAAACTCAAAGCAACTTTAAAAATGTGGAGCATATTACTTTAATATCATTTTATTCAGAAAGAGCTTTTCTTTGTCCTCAGAAGTTTATTTATAAAATAATGAAGTTCTGCAGGGTGTACATAATGATAGCAAAGGAATGTATTTTAACCTAGTTTTTAATAATAGAACTATAATTAGAGCTCTCACAAGAGATATATCTAATCCTGGGTATGATAACTTTTGCTCAGAACTCAATTTTTTTAAATTTGAAATAACTGAAGCCTTTGTTTATAAATGAAACGTAGAATCTTAACTATCTGTTTTGGGAGAATGCAAATATATCACGAGCCCTCAAGTGCAGCAGCTCCCTGCTGGAACTTTGAAATAGCCAGAACATAGACATTAACAATGCCTGTACCCCATTTTGAAAGAGCTTATGCTACCTCACTGGTTAAACATTTTTAGTTGTTCATTGCCTAATAGGCTTCGAAATAGAAAGCATTACTGAAGATGGAAATGTTCTTTACTTACATGTAGGAAAGAGCTTGTAAACGGCAATTCATTTTAAAATGAAAACCTGAAAATTCCAGCACCAAAAAATCCCACCCCACCCTAAAAAGGAAAGAGCATACTCCTATGACTAAAGAAATATTGGCAATTTATTTTCTTCCCTCATTATGGAGAGAGTGTCCCAAAGTACTGACAATTTTAATGTCAGCAAGAAAAGTATCTGTTGTGAGTACAGAGAAGCCAAGGAGCTAATCATTGTAAGTTTTGGCAACTTGAATTTTGGGTTACGCCTTATGGCTAACTTGAGGTCAACAGCTTAACCTGTAAGTGGGTTTCATAAAAGAATGGTAATTTGTGAATGTGTTTTCAACATTTTAATCTGCAATATCAAAAAACAAGTGTTCATAAAATTGCTTGTAAATTCAGAGGTTTAAATAGGTTGTCCACATTTCTGCTACAAAAGGGTAGACAATTCCACTGCGTAGTCAAAGAAGACATTATATATGACAGTACGCTTTTTCATGTAAGGACCAAAATTATTAATCTTCAGCCAGGTAGGAGCAAGAGTCAGAGAACAGAGAATGGTAGATTGGGGGGGGTGGGGGGAAGAGGGTAATTTTTTATGGTTTCTCTACCTCATGCTTTAGTTTTCCTCCTGTTGTTGCTGAAGAAGGCAGAACATGAAAATAAATTTAAGGATTCCCAATATTTCATTACTTAGCTTTATGGAAAACCAAGATAATTCAGTAAGTACTCCTTTTAATGGAGAATTTAAGTTATGAAAAATGGCAGCTTTTTATAAGCAGGTGGA